TAGTAAGTGGAAGCAAAAACGCACCTGTCTCAGATAGTCCAACTCATTCTGCCGGCTACCTAGACAGAAATGCAGATCAGAGAGATTTTCACATATAGCCGACTCCATGAGAGAACGAGGAAGAGCCTAAAAAATGCAAAAGATCTTGAAACATCAAACTTTTGCAATGATACCTTATCCGCAAGTTGATCTTCAAATTTCATAATTCTGTGCATATGAAGAGACGCGACTGGAACGACATCTTCTGCGATGATCGTTGGCAGATCTAGCTTCATTCCTATAGTTACGAGTTGAGAGCAGGCGAAGCGTATTTGGTACCTAGAAATGATGGTGAAAATTATTCTCTGGATTTTCAGCCATCTACAGCATACTAAAGAAAGGATTTCACGAACTGACAAAAGATGTCGAACTATAAATTCAATAAAAAATTTGCGGGTACCGGAAAAGATAATGAAAAGCAGTTGCAAAAAAGTATCCTGAAAAGAGTAATGATTTTTTTTTCAACTGGAGGGCGCTTGTCTGTCTCACGATTTCATTATTTACAACTGAAGACAAGTCATATATAATTTTTACATACCAAAATAATACCTAAAAAAATTAACTATTCATGTAAGCAGATAACAAAAACTTAGAATCACCAGCATTTTTTTTTGTTGAAAAATCAACACACCTAATTTCGTTGAGGAAGTCGCGGTCCCTGCTGATGCCAGACTCATACCAATTATTCACATACGTGTCAATAAGCTGGTCCAGCAAACTTTCTGCAGCATCGTTCACACATACTGGCACTTTTAGCTCTGTGAATAATACATCAAAGATAAAAAATCTTCCTCGAGACAGCGCGATTAGAAACCTCACCTCTACGCGAAGATGGTTTACGTTCTTCCTCTAAATTCGTCACTTCTTTCAATTCCGCCTTCTTCATAGAGTTACTCGAGATCCACACTTGAACAAGCGCATACAGAAACCTTCCATTTGAATCATTTGCAATCCACATAGCTATGCTGACACCCAAAAAGGTGGAACATAGACAGCAGGCTATTGGCAGCGCCCTAAATCACAGCTCCAAAACTATACTGTAAGGGATATAAAAATCACAAGCACTGGTAAAAAGAAAAAAAAACGGAGGAAAATTGAGTAAAGCGACGAACACATGCTTGAGAGCTCACCTAAATCCCAGGCAAATAAGCAGCAATATAGCAGCGAGTAGATAGGCAGCCGGACGAAGCCATGGATTTTGCTGTATCAAATCTTTTACGAAATTACGATTCCGCTCCAGTAATTCCCTCATATGTTCATCGAACTCCATGAAATGTTCACATCACTGGAAAATAACAGTAGAAAAACAGACATCATAGGACAATGGTGCGAAAGTAATGAGCGATTATAAACGGCATTAAAAAATCAAAATTGTATATCAGATCTTTATCATCAATAATTACTGTATAACAAATTGTAACAAAATTAGGCACAACAAAAAAAATCTTAAAAGTCATTAGAGCTTCTCTTGTGCCTTTGTGCCCTAATACGCCGGACATTAACGGGGAATTCCACAGGTTCCACCTGAAATGATAGTCCGTATTTCAGAAAATGGGAAAGAATTGCATATCGGCGATAACCATGCACTTTGCAGCCCACCTATAAGTCCCCCTTCTTAAAGGCAGTGTCCCCCCAAAAATTCGCATTCCGGTTT